TACATTGGCGTAGGTCAGTAGCTTGCAGGCTCTTTATGATAAAGACAAATACAAGCAACAATCTTCTACCCACAATCATTAAATGCATCACACCGGATGATGGTGTGCATTGACATGACTTTTTTTATACCGAAGCAGCTGCTCAGGCAGAAGCCTAAATACCTGGGCGCCGCGGCTACTATGAGGAGCTTAAAGCAACTTTATTTTTGAATAGCTTAAGATTAGTAGAATTGGGAGAAGCCACCTTAAGGAGATTGTTCTACAGTCTCGATTCCCTAGGATCAAATGAGCGGTTGTATCGGCCAGTTCTGAATGTACGAATTTCAACACGGTTGGGATGGCAGGCCAAAGTCAGGCGTGTCTGTCTGGGAGGCACATTCGGGCGGCGGCATCATGGAGGAGAGCTCTGAGGTGCAAGGTCCGTTGGCGTAGTGGTTAGAAGAGACAGTCCATCGGTGCGTGACGGTCCCGAGACTGACCGATAGAAACTAGTCATCGATCAGTTGGACAGCAGCGAGCATGGACAATGTCGTCGGAGCGGCAGCACTCCATACATGTGAGGCCAGGTCCATATCGGGGACTTTAACAGAGTGAAGAGGTTATGTGAAGAAAATTACTGCTGTGTCACGTGCCGAAATCACGTAATCTTTTTTTACTATTTTTAGAATTAAATTAGAGTGCTCATTCCTCCCTTTTCAATGATTTTCTTTTGGTAAATTTCATAGTTTACTGATTGTATAACTTCACACGTATTATATATTTCTTTCTCAGCGACTCAGTATTGTGTTGAAATCTCTTGATATAGTGTTATCAAAGGACTATCTTTGAAATTTCCTCATAAAATATCGTTGGGCCCTCGTAGAGTTGGTTCTGCCCATTGGCAGCGCCACCTTGTGATTTCCGTACGTACTAGCCATACAGGGATATTTGGTTGTATCAAGATACCGTCTTCAACGCCACTCACTCAAGCTTCTTTTAAAAAGTTAGGTTTTCTGCGGCATTTGCTCTCCTGCGGAGATTGTGGTGTAGGTGTCGTTTCAATAATTTCTAGATTCTGGGATATTAGACTCCCAAACGCCAATTTATGGAGTAGTACTCGTTTATTTTGTACCTTACGTTTAGTAGTGTTGGTTTGGGTGCTACTCCGTCCATTTTCTAATGTGATTTTAACCTCCAGCAGTTTTCTTTTGTATACCATCGGACCACGTCCATTCCTGCTTCCTTTCAGTGGAAAGTCACTGCGGAGAACCACCATTCACACTCCTCCAGCTTTGTTTTGTAGCTGCCTTGTAGCTGTTTCTCAGCCGATTTTGTTAGAGGCCATCCCTTCCACCTAACAAAAACTCTGATGTAAACAGGTAAAATATTATTTTAATTGGGTATTTTATAGATATTGATATGTTGATTGTTGCTGACTGAAATTCTTAGAGTGTTCTTGATTTTGTTTGGTATTTTTCGTATTCAAATACGATAGTGGCAGTGCCTACAATGTTGCCTTCTTTTGGGTTTGCTCCATACGTTGATTATGATTTTGATTTTTGAGCTGCCATAACTTATTTTAGAACAAGAGATAACTTTCTGAGGGTATATCACTTTAATAAATTTTTATCTTTTGTTACATTTGCTTTACTTTTCTTGTGAAAGAGAATGTATACGGATTTTTCTTCAAGTTTTGAGTATTTTTAATGAGTAGTTCTGTCTCAGACAGAGAATAGAGAGTAGATTTTTAAGCATCCTTTTTCTCTATAGGTTTTTTAAACCGTAAATTTTCCTCGCGTCACTGCTCACTACTGGCCACTGGTTTTTGACCTGAGCGTTTGTGAGCTGAGGACATCTGAGCTGCGCCTAGAGTTGTAACTGGAAGAAGACCATTATCCCGATGAGTTTAGGTGTTAAAATATTTGTGAAGCCTATATTTGTAAATCCTTCGTACGTACCTGTATGCCATGGCAAGCGTTTTGCAGGGTTAATTATCACGGTCTAATAATTTTATTGTCAGGTAGTTTTGAATAATATCCTTTTTTTTTCCAAATTGCACTCCAGTGCTAAAGCATATGTGCTGCTTGTTTTGATAATATATTGTGATTCTTTTTTGAATATCTTGTTTGCAGTTAATTAGGTTTCGTCATTGCTGATAGATTCTTTTTTTTTGTGTGGAGGTCAAGCAAAACAAGTTTCGACTAACATCTCAGGGCTTTATGGCTTAATCCGTCTTGAGTCACTGGCGCTTTTAACCCCCCTTACTCTCCGGTTTATTGAGTTAGGACCTAAATTTGCACGCCACTTGACAACTATTTTGCATTGACTGGCCCTTATATTTCATTTATAGTGTTTTATTAATTTACTTATTAATTCATCAATTAAGAGAAAAAAGGAAAACTGAATCACACCACCACTTCCTCTCGTTTATAAAAAAAGGGATGAAATTTGCCAAAAGAAAATCATTAAAAACGATTTGGCCTAGGAATCGGTACTCTATAATCAAAGAGAAATTTAAATGACTGGTAATTAATCAAAATAGTAAAAAAAAGGTTAAGTGATTTTGGCACGTGACATAAGCCCTAAACAAATGGCCTAGCTTCTCAGAGCTTATTAACGAGATATGTTCCTTACAGATCAACTCTTCAGCGATCTGGACTCCGACCAGCTATGGCGCTTCTTAAGAGTCAGTTTGTCACTCTAAATTCCCGCATGTAAAGTGATGTCATCAGCAAAGTTGTGGATCGAATTGACTGAAATAGTTGCCGAAGTTGTGTAAGTCAAAGTAAGCCTCACTAAAGAATAAACATTTTTTGACTCTAGGTAACCTGAAATAATCACAAACGATGAAAGCAAATTTTCGAAATTTATCAAAATTCATACCTCTCTTAAAGGTTTCCAAAACATTGCAAATCATACAAAAACGAAAATTGAGGAACGATCCGAAGCTGTTTTGATTTTTTGCTCATAATACCGCCATTTAAACGAATTTAAAAAATGAGTAGCATTACCTATCAGGACCCCACAGCATGCTGCTTCCTCATCCAAACCGGCACAGCCATTTACTAGATTACGAGAGTCAAATAATACAAACACATAGATGGACAGATACATGGAAATACGTGATACGTGTTGTATACTTAGCAAAACATAAAAAAAACTTGTTATTTAAATTTCTAAAATGTTCGCGGTCACACTCTTATCCGTGAGAAAGTAAAAGACAAGAAAAAATGTTCTCTAGTATATTGACTCTTTCCACGCAACACCATCACAGTTCATGAAGGATTATGTTCAGCACAAGCTAGATCTCCTGAGAAAAAAGTCAGTCAAACAGGTCCATACAAAATTTATATATGCATTCTTTCCCTGCCTTACCGGTAGTGCATCGGGAAACGTCGCCCCTCCCCAATATCTAACTCATGCAGACGTTGCACTGTGGGCGTAATAGTGCGGCCAGAGCACAGAAAACACTATGCTGTTTCTCGGCAGAAATACGTGTATGATTCCATAACAGAACAGTCATGACGCACGACGTAAACAGCTGCCGCAGCCGATTGGTATGCAATCCGTTTCCCAAGAAAATTTTTTTTAGTTTTCAGGGCTAATATTTTGTGAAATATGTCTAATAGGTGCGTATAAGAGTACCGGCATCAAAAAATTGAGTTAAACCCTTCCCATTCCTTGCAACCTCTACTCCCAAGTTTTTTTACTCTAAATTTTTTTCCAAAAATGATCTGGATCCTCTGAAACATCAAAAAGCGAAGCTTGAGCAGTTTTTATTTGTTCGTTGTAGGCCGGTTTCTCCTCCGCGTCTGAACCAATTTTCAGATACTACAAAGCGTTTGCGTCCTTGGCATAGTAGTTACATATATATATAAAAAAATAATAAAAAAATTATCGGAATCCGAGCGGTATTTCTCAAGTTATAGGTGGTTATAAGATTAGCGGACAGATTGACAGACAGACTGGCCGACAGAAGAGAGTTTTTCGTGATGCATATGTCATATAACACCAACAAAATCTCATCGAAATTTTTCGCGTTTACAATACCTGTACTTCCCCGCCAGCAGGCGTGGGAAGAAAAATGTATGGTATATTTATCATTTGCTCTATAGTATATTTATCATTTGCTCATATCTGAGCGCTCATTGTAGGAATGTATACTTAGTCAATACGTTTACTATTTATACACATTATTCAATGCAAGCGTTTTTGTTTCTTTTGTGAAAAACAGTTCACCTTGAACGTTACCCTCCATTTGGGATTCATCAAAGCTGCGAGGATACCTTCTAGTTTTCAAGAACCTAGCGGCAAAGTCCAAATACTCCTAACTGTGTTAAATTTATTAAGGAGACCAATATACGAATTTATCTGCCTATTATTATTATTGTCGTTATTATTTATATTGGGACCGGCTGCATGGACCCTTTATGTCCTAATGCCAATAAACAATTAAAAAAACTTACTCTGCCCTAATCATTACTTTTTTCAAAGAAACCCCTAAAATAACCGTAGAGCTACGCCACTGCCTACTAAATGTTAATAACCTACACTGAAAATTAAAAGCAATAAATATGCAAATATTTCAACTTTGTTGCATTATAAACAGATCGTTGAACAATATTTATTGGCATTACATCTCCTTTTACCAAATTTTCCACTCACAGCTTCACAGAAGACGGGAGCGAGTACCATCTGAAGCTGAATGGTTCATGCTAATAGTCAACATGAGTAGCTGTTCGCTTTTATATAGCAAGAAGAAGTAAATGGAAATAAGACAGTACAAAGTGTCATCTATTACCAGAATCAACCACTGCGAAAGTGAAAACAGCAAGCTTTTTGGATGACGGAACCCTTTTTGGAAACGAAATACTTCGCGGAACCCTTGAATAAAACCAATACCTTTATGTGCATCCTCTATTTATAATCGTAATATGAATAGGTATAATACAATAGTAAGGTTAATTATTAGTCCTATTAGGTAAGTAGACAAAAAACATTTAAAAAAAAAGTTAAAAATCTCATGTGAGGTATGAAACTTTTTCTTTTTTTTTCATCAACTGGTCGATGTCTGGTTGGATGAGAGAGAGTTGAAGTCTCATGTCAGGTTTGGCGTCCAGTCTATTGCGGTATTTTGTTTTTGTAGCTGCATAGGTTGAAAATCCTGTTTCACACAAGTATGTTGGTGCAAACGGGAGAAGAACATTCAGGGCCATTTTGGAAAGTATTGGGTATTCTTGGCCAATTTTGCACCAAAAGTCGTTGAGAGGCGTCGTTTTGATCAGTGACTCCATACCTGTATCCGATGACATCTGGTTCTCGTGTAGACGATGCTTATCAGCCAATATGGTCCGCATATGAGTATATGGATTTCTTTCTTGTGGATACAACTAAATGTAAACGTGTCATCCATCACCTTATTTTTCTGTACGCCTTTTTAATTTGATTTTTACCTTTAATTCATATAGGCGTAGGTATAATATGCCAATACGCATAGTAATAAGCTTTTCGCGACATTTAATTCTGCGTCCATCGTCATCGAGCGTGAGAACCTTGCAAGTGTGGACCCAAAGAAGCGCTCGCCGAGATTATCGGCAAGATTCTTGAGTGAGTGTGTAGCGGCCTTTAATCCCAACCCAACCTTCGACAAATGTAGACAGTAGCAGTCAGCAGACCACGCGACGTAAAAGTGAGTACACGCGGCAGAAGCAAGCGTATTGTGGGTAGTACTCTTTCCATCCCACTCTTTTATATTACAGTATATTATTATATTATATAGGCCAAAAATTTTCGCGAACCCTAGGGTTCCGCGTAGCATACTTTGAGTATGGCTGGTGTAGTGTATCCCAGTTGGCATTGTTAGCTGGGTCACCTTTGTGGTCGCTAGATGCCGCCGATTCTGGTGCTATGGTAGATTCGGTCTACTCGTCATTAAACAAACTGCAGGGTCCGTCAGAAGGAACGCATGTTTTTTAAATGCGTAGTACAGTCAAAATAAGTATGGGGAAAATATTTTATTATATCAAAATATTCAGAAATACCTACCTGTCATTTTTTTGAGTAAAACATAATTTACGTTCTAAAACTATGTCGGCTATATGGCGCCCTTGAGCCCTTTGCGTCGGCCAGCATCCGTGCAGGAATTTGGGTTACTTCTCTTCTTATTTCCTCCTTCAAATCGACGCGGGTCCGAGGCTTGCTTTGGTAAACTTTTGAGTTCAGGTAGCCCCATAAAGAAAATCACACGTTGACAGGTTTGGGGAGCTAGGAGGCCATGGAATATCGCCATGACGTGAAATGAGACGTCCCGGAAATTTTGGCCGGAGAAGTTCCATCGAAGTGCCAGCTGTGTGAGATGTTGCCCCGTTTTGTTGGAACCACACTGTTCTGAGACGGACACGTCGTCGTCGAAGTTCCGGAAAGTTGTTCAGCATGTGGATGTAACACTCTGAATTCACAGTAGTTGGTTCTCCATCATCCTCAAAAAAATAAGTGCCAATAATCATCATTACTGCACACCAAACTGTCACTTTCGGGGTATGCAGGGGATGCTCATGAAACTGTTGGGGGTTCACTGGAGACCAATATCGACAATTTTGTTTATTGACGTATCCATGTAGATGAAAATGTGTTTCATCCCTCATAAACAACGTCTTGTCATTATTATTCAAATGTTCAATCATGATCTGTGCAAAATTAACACGTGGTGCATAATCACCTGGCAACAGTTGCTGACAAACTTGGATTTTGTAAGGATGGAACACTAAGGACCAATTTCACCAACATTAATATTATGGACCAATGGAAAAATACCTTATCGAAATGCAATTTGACGGAAGCTGTCAAAGGTCTCTGAACATTAGTGATTTCTATTGAAATATTGAATAAAATCGTGAAAATTCGACTGTATTATAAAAAAGACCACTTTTTGATTCCAACATGATGCTTTTGTACAAAAAAAAACAGGACAACTTTCATGTATTTTGATATATGTTATAGGTTTACATTTAACAATCCGTTATCCCCCTCAGCGAATGGGAATGCGGCAAATAATAGGTCGATTTTATAGCTGTTAAATTTGGCAGCAGATTTGGACGTTTGTTAATGCATGGCACTCTTGAATTTACCAACTTCAATATACAGAAAGTTATCATTACATACCTGTTGAATAGTGTGGATTTGTCTGTATTTTGCAAGAAAATAGAATATGAAATACATTCCATCCAATTCCTCATCTTCCTTTACATCATAATAGTAATCATTTATTAATTTATGGGTTAATGAATTTCTTCAAAGCAATAAAAACATTATGTCCTCTCCATCCTAAATCACAGATAATATGTGTAAGACGTGTCAATCCCCACATCTCCCTGATGCATAATGCAATTACTGTGGGCATAGACAAAAAATTATGAAAAATGTTTCACAGATAATGGCTTTATGTCCAAAAATCAAAAAAACTAGTATGTAATGTTTTTTGTTTGTCTATTTTTCTTTTTTGACTGGCGGGGATATCTATCTGATACTCGCAGGGTTGCCAAGCCTAACGACGATCACGTCCCGTGGTGGAGGGTGCGAAATGAATCTTTTACATTTGCTGGTTTTGAATTTTTTTCGTGAAAATTTACTAGGTATCATGATTATAAGCATCTTTGGTAGATTGTTCGATCCGGAATGGGAAAGATCTCCTATTTATGAAAATATTTTTGGTATCATCTAACCGTTGCAATCAGTGCACAAACACTGTGACATATTTATAGCATACCCGCTGCCGTATCAATACAAATTTAACATACAGGTCGCCTAGTCGTGGGGATGCAGTGGTCGGGATGAATATCACGGCAGCAACTGATGATTTGGGCATGTCTGGTAACAACGTATGAAGTGAAACTCGCTAACAAATTTGAAGATTTTGTACAATTTCTTTGAAAATGATGAAAGATATGTCTGATTTGGCAGGGTTATGTCGCAGCCAAATGGCAGTCACTCTTTCTGACACAGTCCGGATCGAAAGATGACGATACTCGTGAAATGTATTGATACTTCTAAATATAGGATCGTATCGAACATCCCTACTGTCAAGATGTATAACCCAATGTACCGCCGGAGCTATATTGCGGCGTCAAGGAAATAATTTTAAATTTTCATTTGCATTTTTTCAAGTGTTGTGCAATGATTTTGGGAAAAATGTCACGAATAGTCTTATAAAGCATAGTAGAGTATATTTCAACAGTTGGCGGAACTTACTCCACTGGGACCAGGAGGGTGAAACGGGATATTAATGCACCATCTGGCAACCCTGTCGCACCCTCACAAAATGGCCGCTGATAACCACACAAGTCACCGTGTTGTCATTGAATAGCATGGAATTAAACCTTCAGAGTATAATGTTTTGTGCCTGGTACCAAGAGTTGACAGATCCCACACATGTGTCACTCCTTGAAATACAATAATCAGCTGTATTCAAATAATGTCTAATATAAATATAACCCAGAATGTGTACTCGTGAAAAAAGAAAAATATGGCAAATTTATAGTTTTTTTGCAGGTGTTAGGTTTGATGGTAGCTTTAAGGCGTATATTGGGGAATTCCTTAATCGCTGTGAATATAGTGTGGATGTTTGTTCAGTTTCTGAACAACGAAAAATATTCAACTTTATGGATGTATGGATATCAAAAAACCTGAATGGTTTTGTGGGAATATCAATCTAAGGTGCCATAATGGTTCTGATGAACGGCAAGTAAATTAATGAATGTTTGGAAACGAGCAATATCTTTTGGTAGAGCCTGTCATCAAGTAGGTGCTTAATGGCTATCTGCAAGAGGTTTATAGGAAAAAAACACCCAGTATCACATATCAATTGAAGAAAGTAATATAAACATGAATAAAAAAATCAACAATAGTAATTAAAACATGAATTTAATTCAAAAATCAAACATTTCTTGAAATTTTAACTGAATTATATGTAATTTCTTAATATTCAATAAGTTGGTGATGTTTCAATGACAAGTTGTCATCTCATACTTTGACAGTATTTTGTTTTCAACTTTTCATAGCTATTGGTTGCTAAAATTTGTTGATTGGAACTTGAAGCTCATTCGCTGTATCTGACGGTCTGTTACCCTATAGGTGGAGAATAACGGACTGTTGTTGGTGAAATTGGGCCTAAATCCTTCTTCAAGATGCGACGTACAGAGGATGCGTGTATCCCTAGGGAACTGGCAAGCAGACGGACGAAACGATTCGGGCTTTGCAGCGTGTCAACTCTCACTCTGGCTACGTTTTCGGGGGTTCTAACAGTACGGTTTCGCCCTGGCGGTTGTTTCTTCATCACATTACCTGTTGTGTTGAATGCTTCCACCCATCTCAAAATGGTGTTACGGTCTCGCCATTTTGAAAGAACCGACGTACAGTGAACACTCGATGCTCAACGTTCCAAACCATCTTTCCGACTGAAACGGCACTTGTCCCACTACCCAACACGCCCTTCCTCACCGACACGGGACCAGCCCACTCGATGTAGTACCCATTCGAGAAACACGCGTTCTTTCTGCCGGACTCTGTAATAAGTTTCGTTCGTCTAACAACAGACGGAGAAGCATGGACAGCTGTTCCGTACTATTTGGCAACTCCTCAGCATGGTGTAGGCCTGGTCTCCGCTAGCAATGCGAACCCGGGATGCAGTTCCAACAAAAAGCTTGCTGTTTTCACTTTCGCATTGGTCGATGCTGGTAATAGATGGCACTTTTTGCCGTCTTATCTCGACAGACCTTATACTCTGGATAAGGTTCCTCACCTCTCGTTCGTTGAACACGGATACCAAGCTTACACCATGCTGAGGAGTTGTCAGATAGCACGAAATAACTGTCCATGGTTGACCGTCCGTGGTCAAATGAACGCAAGCATTATTACTAAGAACTATATGAATAAAATGAAATACATGGTCAAGCGAAAGTTGAAGCTGTCCCATTTTCTTCAACGCTTGGAGCATATGTCATCCTCATTGTTGGTGAATCAAAAGACCTTCTCTTGACTCGAATTTCAGTGAGGATGGTAGAACCATCGCAGCGAGGTAAACTACCCCAGTATTTTTACCCTTAGAAAAATGTTAGTAGTTATACAAAAGTGTCCGGAACTGCTGAGTTTTTAAGATACAGGGTGATAAATTTGAAAAAAAAATATTTTTTAATCAATATATTTAAAAATATTGACTTGTTTTTTAGCGTATATTATTTTACGCCACTACCTTTTTCATATCTTTAATATTTGTTGTTCGATTAAGCAACTAAAAATACAGCTTCTTTGCCCGTTGTATTTTTCGTATCTCACTTTGTTTTCTAGAAAAAAAAAATAAAAACCGTTTTATTGCGTGTCACT